TAAACATCTTATTGAAATTATATAGTAAAAAATGAATGCGATGTGACATGGCATTGTAACTATTAAGGAGTAAATTGCGTGAGAGAATGTGAAGACATAAGAAGATGTTATCAAGAAATATATCTATAAAAAATTTTAGATCTTTACATATATATTTTACTCTTAAACATTATTTCTTTTAGACGTGAGATATTTGCATTTCTCTTAATTCCACCTCACAAGTGAGTTTGCTGTTTGCTCCTTCATGAGTTGTAACTATAGGCTCAATCTTTGGACAAAAAACATACTTTTAGCTCTTTACTTTCTCAAGTTGAAAAGTTTTAGCCTCTCACCTTATATTATAATATTTTTAGCCCATAACATTACTAGATCTGCAGGTTTTGGCCCCTCACCTTATATTATGATACTTTTAGCCACTTACTTATTAAAATTGAAGAAAATAGCCTTCATTTTGTAACATTTTGTTTGTCCTGTTAGTTGACTGTTAACTATCAAAAACTTTCTTACAACTAACAGAATTAACAGAATTAACTTTATAATATTTTGTTAATTCTATTAATTGGCTATTAATTGACTGTTAGTTGATAAAAATCTACTTTCAGCTCACAAAGTTAACAGTCAGTATAAAGTGAGGGCTATTTTCTTTGATTTTAATAGATGATAGGCTAAAACCTGCAAATCAAATTGGGTAATGAGCTAAAAGTGTCATAATATAAAATAAGGGGTTAAAACCTTCAAATTTAATAAAATAAGGGGCTAAATGTAGGTTTTTGCCCAATCTCTTAACCTAAGAAGAATTCTCGGCCGATTCTTACTAAAATATCACAATCATTAATTCTTCCTTGAGACTTTTGCAGAGTCATTTCTTTCATGACGTTAACCCCACTCACAATACTAATAGAGCCCAAATCTTAATCACTAATCGCAGTACTGGTTCAATTCTAGTACCATTTGTTGGAAAGTCAATCTAATTGGCTCAGGAGTGCATCTAATTGGCTCAGGAGTGCATTTGTAAGCGAGTGTGAAAACATGAAGGGGTGTTTGGTTGTGGAGTAGCTTTTTTCATAATTTTTTAAAATTTTTTTATAAGTTATTTATATATTTTCATATATTAATATTATAAGAAAATAAGGATAAAAGTGATATTTTGAAT